ATGTGTAATCGGAATGGTGATCTAGGCAGTCACCTGCCTCTGCCAGAGCGCGAGGAAGCTCTAATTCTCCTGAAGGGCAGAGGATTTGCTCTTCTTTCATCAGTATTCCTAGAATCCACAGCCAGAACCAGGCCTGGCCTATTTTACAGCTTTCAGGAAGCATATGAGATTATTTAGTGGGATTAAGGGATCTGAGGGATCCTAATATCTCTGCGTGAGGGGCAAGGGGGGGATGCTGAGATGAGCGGCGTGGGGCTGGTGGGTCGGTGGTTGATGGGGCTCTTCTCCTCCGTGGATGCTGCCTGGGGCTGATCCCTCCTCATCCACAGCAGGAAAACGTGCTGGGAAACGTAACAGGTACTGGATTCCTACCTGCTATTGGGAAATGGTGGCACAGGGATGCGTGGGGATGCATCCCAGGGCATGGGGCAGCTGCTTTAGGCTGTTTTCTTGGAGTGCAAAGGAATGAATCTCAGCATTACCTGGTACCTTGTGGTTGCCTGCCAGGATTTGGGATTGTGCTCCTGGGAGGTGCTCAGTGTGGTGCTGGGTGCTCCAGGGTGGGTTAATAAGAGCATCCATAGCTCCAGGCTTTTGGCTGGGGTGGGAAGAGGGGCCAGAGCAGCTCCATGGAGTGATACCTGGTGCCTGGTGGGGTTGTGAAGATGTGATGGGGTTGTGCCTGGTCTGTGCCAGGCAGAGTGTTGTGTTTCACCACCCAGACCTTGGTTCCCAGCCTCCCCCATCCCAGCTTCCCCCATCCCAGCCTCCCATCCCTGGAGGCAGCTGAGTTCAGCGCCCATCACAAGTCATGGAGAGGAAATGTCATGGAGAAGAAATGTCATGGAGGAGCTTGGGATGCAGCTGCTTGGTTCAGCGGGTTTCAACATTAAGTACAAGCTTATCCCGCTGGAACCCGATTTTTCCAGGATGTGGTGATCCGTGGCACTTCCCCAAATCTCCAGGCACGTGAGCACCATGTGCCTGTTTGGAGGATATGGAGGAACAAAGTTGTCCACAACCATGAGGAGAAAGGAGCTGGGAGCACCAGCTCATGCTCTTAATCATGTAACCGGGAGCGGAGCTGGGGAAGGACCCGGGAGCGGAGTCGGGAGGCGCCCGCCTGTACTTTGAGCCTGTGGCCGCTGCCTTATCGGCCTGGCCCTGCCCTCCCTCCTGCCCTCTCCCCTGCCCTCACCCAGCTGCCAGACGATGCTCAACCCTCCTGGGAGCTTGCAGGGATCAGATCCTGGGGGATGCTGCAGCCCCTGGGGAGCTGGCTCATCCCGGGTGCTCCCCGGGGTGGGTGGGTCACTGGCACCCTGAGGGCTGCACTGTGCTGGCTCCTGGCCACCCAACCCTGCTTGCCCGGATCCTGCTGGAACCATTTGCTGGTTCAATCCATCTGTGTTGTGCTCCGTGGCCAGATCCTGCCTGGAGGATGCAGCCTGTGGGAAGCTGCTGGATTTCCCCCATCCCAGCCGTGCTGAGGTGGCAGGAGGTGCCGGTTCCTCCTCACAGGCAGCCCTGGGGCGAGTGCCATGTTATTTTACTCCAGGTTCGGGGTCACCCTGCCTGTCACACGCTTCCCATGTCCTCTAGACTAAGTTCTGGATGGCAGTGGCAGCCGGGGAGAGACGCTGACAACAATTTTCCACTCCATTTTTGGGACCGAACGCCCGAGGAGGTGATGGAGGCAGGGAGGGCAGCAGCCCTGCCCCTCCAGCTTTCAGGCCTTGGCAGCTCATCTCCACCCTGAGGCTCCTCCAGAGCCTGAGGTTTCCACGTGGGAAGGATGGGAACCAGCTGGAGATGCTGCTGGAGGCGCAGGGGG